TGTACTTTTGATAAAACACCCCTCTCTCACACTACTGCACTAACTCACTACGGTTAGTTCTACACCGCAGCTGGGTGCAAGCCTCCCAGCAAAGGTAGACAGACTCACACTAGCGAGACTTGAGCTAGCATGCTAAGAATAGCTGCGTGGATGTTGCGGCTCTGACAGAGACTCAGGCTAGACGCTCCAGCTCAAACCCAGCCCAAGCCTCTGCAGGAGCTGCCACATCCACACAGCTATTATTAGCGTGCTACCTTAAGCCCCACTAGCATGAGTTTGTCTAACCGGGCTGGAAAGCTCACTCCCAGCTGCAGTGTAGACACCTCAGAAGAGTCGAGGTCCTGAAATGGGACTTCCGTCCACATTATCTAACTTGACCCTTCCCTGAATCCTTCATTATATGACTTGACCCTTCTCTAGCAGCTTCTATCTGAAGATGTCTCAGAGCACCTTGCAAACATTAATGAACTAAGGACCTGTCTATACTGGAAAGTTTTGCACCGTTGTCACAACAAACACCTAATGTAGACACAGGGCACTGGTGTCAAAAGTGACACGCACCAGTTCAGATTATGCTAGTGCAAGCCACATTTTAGATTGGTGCAAGACACCTACATCACTAGGGTTTGCACCAGTGCAACTACATTGGTATGGCTACATAGTACAAACAACCTCAGTGTAGAAAATTGCATGTGGGATATAGGAAAGCATTTTACAGAAGGAGAAACTGGGGTACTGTAGTGAGGTGGAGTGGCCTCCCACAGACCCGGAGGGGGAGGAGCCCCTCACTGAGCCCTAGTGGGCGGAACCAGAGCATGCTCACCCCTCCCGCCAGAAGTCAGTGGGCAGGACAGGAAGTATAAAAGGTGGGTCTGGGCACTCAGTTGGGCTGCAGCCACCAGAGGAGCAAGATGCCTCTTGCTTGCTCCCAAACTGGGAGACTGCTGCAGGCCCATGGGGAGTTGAGGACTGGCCAGAGCCGCATGCTGACCAGACCACACCACAGAGGAGTTGCCAGGACTACCACAGGCCTTCTACCCTGACGATCTGGACAATCCTCTACAGACCCAAGTACACCCCGAGGAGCAGTTAGGAAGTGGTCCTGGGACAGCCGGTTCGTTGTTGCCATAGACCCAGTCAGCGTGTTGCGGTCAGGATCCCAGCTGACCCAGTGGCAGCCCCTTCTGCCACTGTTAGGGCCCTGGGCCGGGATGCAGTGGGGTGGGTGGGCCTGCGTCCTGGGGTGGCAGTCTCCCCCTCTCTAGGCTAAGAGGCCAGTGCTTGTCAGGAATCCGACGGAGCTAGGATGCCTGAACCCCTTACTGCTTGACCCTGAACAGAAGCCTAAGCTATAGACTCTCATTGCCCCGCCCTGACTGAGCCAAACCTGAGCCATTCTTTTTGGGTGACAGATCTGAGGAACTGTCCCAAATTGAGGTGTCATTAGAGGAAGTTTTAGAACAAATTGATAAACTAAACAGTAATAAGTCTCCAGGACCTGATGGTATTCATCCAAGAGTTCTGAAGGAACTCAAATGTGAAATTGCAGGACTACTAACTGTCATCTGTAACCTATCATTTAAATCAGCTTCTGTACCAAATGACTGGAGGATAGCTAATGTGATGCCAATTTTTAAAAAGGGCTCCAGAGGTGACCCTGGAAACTACAGGCCAGTAAGGCTCACTTCAGTACCGGGCAAACTGGTTGAAACTATCGTAAAGAACAAAAGTGTCAGACACATAGATGAACATAATTTGTTGGGAAATAGTCAAATGTTTTTTGTAAAGGAAATCATGCCTCACCAATCTATTAGAATTCTTTGAGGGGGTCAAAAAGTATGCGGACAATGGAGATCCAGTGGATATAGTGTATTTACATTTTCAGAAAGCCTTTGACAAGGTGCCTTACTAAAGGCTTTTAAGCAAAATAAGCAGTCATGGGATAAGAGGGAAGGTTCTCTCATGGATTGGTAACTGATTAAAAGATAGGAAACAAAGGGTAGGAATAAATGGTCAGTTTTCAGAATGGAGAGAGATAAATAGGGGTGTCCCCCAGGGATCCGTACTGGGCCCAGTCCCATTTAACATATTCATAAACGATCTGGAAAAAGGGGCAAACAGTGAGGTGGCAAAATTAGCAAACGGTACAAAACTACTCAAGATAGTTAAGTCCCAGGCAGACAGCGAAGAGCTACAGAAGGATCTCACAAAACTGGGTGACTGGACAACAAAATGGCAGATGAAATTTAATGTTGATAAATGCAAAGTAATGCAAATTAGAAAACATAATCCTAATTATACATATACAATGATGGGGTCTAAATTAGCTGTTACCACTCAAGAAAGAGACCTTGGAGTCATTGTGGATAGTTCTCTGAAATCATCCACTCAATGTGAAGCGGCAGTCAAAAAAGCGAACAGAATGTTGGGAATCATCAAGAAAGGGATAGATAATAAAACAGAAAATATCATATTCACTCTATATAAATCCATGCTACATCCACACCTTGAATACTGCATGCAGATGTGGTCGCCCCATCTCAAAAAAGATATACTGGAATTGGAAAAGGTTCAGAAAAGGGCAACAAAAATTATTAGGGGTATAGAACGGCTTCCGTATGAAGAGAGATTAATGAGACTGGGACTTTTCAGCTTGGAAAAGAATCGACTAAGGGGGGATATGATGGGGTCTATAAAATCATGAGCGATATAGAGAAAGTAAATAAGGAAGTGTTATTTATTCCTTCTCATAATACAAGAACAAGGGGCCACCAAATTAAATTAATAGGTAGCAGGTTTAAAACAAAACACAAGGAAGTATTTTTTCACGCAATGTACTGTCAACCTCTGGAACTCCTTGCCAGAGGGTGTTATGAAGGCCAATACCATAACAAGGTTCAAAAGGGAGCTAGATAGATTCATGGAAGATAGGTCCATCAATGGCTATTAGCCAGGATGGGCAGAAATGGTGTCCCTAGCCTCTGTTTGCCAGAAGCTGGGATTGGGTGACAGGGGATGGATCACTTGATGATAACTTGTCTATTCATTCCCTTTGGGGCACCTGCCATTGGCCATTGTCAGAGGACAGGATACTGGGCTTGATGGACCTTTGGTCTGACCCAGTATGGCCGTTCTTATGACTAAGGGCCTGGCCTCCCTACCTGTGTTTCGTTGCTGGGCCCTTACCACAGGCCTGAGCTATAGACTCGAGTGGTAGACTGTTGTCACTTCGCTAATGCCCCATGGTAGGCGACGAACAGACACGTGGTGAGGCAGAGTGCCCTCCCACGGACCCGGATGGGGAGGATCCCCCACCGCTAAACCACCACAGGCACAGAGAGGTAAAGTGACTCACCCAAGGTAACAAGAATGTGTCAGTGGCAGAGCCAGGAATAGAACCCAGGTCTCTGTCTCGCAACCCTAATCATAAGATGATAAAGAATAGGACAGAGCAACTCATTCATGCAGCACAAACTGCTGCCTCCAGCTGCCAGAAATATAATTTGGAACTATTTTTCACCACACAGGCCATCTGTTTTGATTGGCTGGATTTCATGTTATGATCCAGGATTAAGAAGAAAGGCTGTTCAGTGCCAAAGTCTCCAATCAGGAATCCTAACTAATATTAAATTACAAGAGGAAAATGAATGGGAGGGACCCATCCAAAACAGCAAAACACTAAAGTTGTGAATGAGATAGAACTCCGCAATGAAACTGGGCACAGATGAACTTTTTCTCCTGGTGCCCAGGCATCGGATCTGAGGCTGGGAATCTAGAACTTCTATTACAGTCCATATGATGTATAATAAGCCTGGGAAATTCAGTGGTGCTGGAGGTTATTGAGTCATATGCTGAAGGTAGATTTTAAACAGGGCTGGATAATTTTATGACTATTAATAATGTCTGTAGATTTGCAAGCTAAGATAATGATAGGGGTAATCAAGCTGCTGCCCTCTAAGTTGGGCAAGGCATAATGATTGCCTAACATCTTCACCCACAGCTCTTTAGTGGCTTCCTACTCACTTCCGGCTGCTATTCAGGGAGATGGGGATAGCTCTTAAGTCCTGAGTGGTCAGAGACCACCTCTTACCCTACACTCCCTCCCTCGTCCATCTGGGTGTCACGTGGTTCTCTGGCATAGTGAGGGCAACCTTTGTTTTAATACTTGGTTTCTAGTGTAGTTGAGACCATGTAATTTGGGAACTGTGCTACAGTCCTAGGTCATCACAAACAAAAAATGTGACAACATACAGATGTTCCCTAACCATGCCAGAAAATTGCACTGGCACAATTCGACCTATAGTGTAGAGGGAGTGTGTCTGAGAGACCCAGATACAGGAAGTGACCAGTCCTTACCTAGACCCAGCAGTCTTAGAAGCACATGGGATCCAGTGGTTGGGTCTTCTCACAACATACTGGTGTCTGTCCAGAGAGGGGAACTGGGCCAGGTTGTGGCTCTACCCATTAACAATCTTTCCTTTCTTCCACACTTAGTATTTCCTGTTTATTTAGACTGTAAGCTCTAGGACAGTGCCTGTCTATTATGTGTTTGTACAGTGCCTACCACAATGAGGCTATGATATTGGTTGGGACCACTAAACACCACTGTAATAATAATAAATACCATCTTCACCACCATCCAGAGAGGGCAACATCATATTATTGGCATGTTTTTAATACTTCGTACTTGGATTCAAAGGCTCTGTAAAAGTGAATGAAATCAGTCCATCAGCCTCATGCTGAAAAACTGATCACTTGCAGTGGACCAGGAAGGAATTCTTTGACTACCCCAAATCCAGCATCTGCACAAATGACCAAGTGCATTATGGAGGGAGAGGGTTTTGCCTTGCTCTGAAGTATCCGCTATTGGCCATTTCTGGAAGACTAGGTCAACTGAATGAACAAACAAATCCTATATAAAAAGTGAAGCTGGCATGGGAATTAGGTGTCCCCAACAACCATAGAGAAAGGATCAGATCGGGTAGAAGAGGGATACTGACCTGCCATTCCTCAGTATCACTGTAGAGGGTTACAGGAATCTCCTGGGGGTTGTAGAAATGTTTTGCCCTCTCGGTTGTTACCACACGCACTTTCAGCTAACGAGAGAAAAGGAGGAGGAGAGACAAACAATTACAGTATATAACATAAAAGCCCCGAGCCAGGCAAGGGAAGGAGGACTTGGGTGGCAAAGAGTTTTATATCAGGCCCTCACACCAAGACTTCACCCTACTATTCATATTTGCATAACCACTTCCAGTCACTGCTGAAAGGTCAGGCACCAACAGGTGCAATGCAAGCCAGATACTCATTTCTGTTCTTCACATGAACAGGCTGGGCCTTAGTCATTTGGTTCCTAGCATATGCAAATAACCAACCAGCAGTTGGGCCAGTGAAGATGACCAAAACAGACAAAAAAGAGGCGTGGTTTAGAAAAGAGGGCTGCCAGGAAAAACAAAGCTCCATATAAGATCCTTGTTTGATCATGAGATGTGTATGGAAAGAGGGTGTGAAAGTGCCTGGCTCTGGAAGGCCCTATTAACCAGAGCACCTCATGGCCGTGGACAAGAAGACACCATAAGAAAACCTTTTGTTTCCCAGGGCTATTTCTGTCTGGCAGGATTTTTGTTCATCCATCTATGAATAACTACATCTGCTGCATTTGCAATTAAACTCCATGCAAACAGTCTGTCTACCATGCGAGATTATGGGTGTAACTCAATGGTTTTAACTACAAGGAGGCTTTTCTCAAATTCTCTGGCTGTTGTCCTACTACCAATGAGGATGCACACTTACTACCTATTATGGAGTGTGATGCTGGCATACCAGGTACCAGCTCATGCCAAGATCCCCATGCCTCAACTGAATACTTACAAATATATGGTTGAAATCAGTCAGGCTCACCTGTGTGTTAGTATTGTTAAAATAGGTACTAGAATAAGAATGCATTTAGTGTTTAGATTTTATGGAATGCTTGTAAGTTGCTGCATGTATTAATCTCATTTATCATATCTGTATCCCATATCACAAGGTAATATTTGAGTGTTTTCACTGTAACCCTCTGTGTAAATCACCAGACGGGAGAGAGACATTAACTAGTGTAAAGTGCTTATCTCCAACAGAAAGTGGCCAACAAGGAAGGCCCATCAACAGTAGATGGACTAGAGTGGAACATTAAAGAGGACAAAAGACTTTGTTCTTTACTGATGATGGCCAGTATATGCTAGCACTTCCTGCCATTATTTCCACCAGTGATGGGAGAATTTGAAGAAAACCTTTGTGTAGGCACATCCATAGTAATAGACTTGATTATGGGCTTTCTAAGTGTGCTCATCATGCTAGCTGCTATACGCTTCTGTTGTCACCAAAAGCTGCTGACCATTTCCAACAGCAGCAGTTGAGGCTTGGGAACAGGTTAACGTATCTCCCAAACAGTGACTGTTTTATAGTCTGTTTTATCTTTTCAGTCTGTTTTATCTTCCTAGCAATGACAATTCTAGGCTCATCTTCCTCCACCCTTGTTACCTAGGATGACCTGGGGCAGTGGAAAATTCCAGCCCCCAAACTTCAGGGTCTTTGATCACTTTACTGTTTATTTCAGAATCTAAGGAGGGCTGGTCTACATATAGAAATTTACATGTATATACTATGCGGGTATATTTATACTGATACAGGTGTAGCAGTACATCATACTGGATTGACAGTCTTATTCTGGAATAAAAGTGCTTTTTTCCAGTTTAGTTTATGTGGCTTTGAAAGCGGGAATGTCAAAGCATAGTTGGGGCACGTACCTATGAACTGCAATCTAACAAGCAAGAGGCTAGCTGGAGTCAGCCAGCACTATCTGAGTGCATGTCTTTCAGCTCTTCCTCCTCCAGGCTGGGTTCTGTGGTTGCTTGTTCTTCACAGCAGGGCACTATCCAGTTATTCTGCATCATACTCTGGGACATTATGCTCTTTCTGCAATGTCTGCTCATTTGCCATAGCTTTCATTTGAAATCACACACATTTCTGGCCCTTTCCAGTGTCAAAATCATTTTCAGAGCAACAACCACAGTTTCCCCATTAACCTCACTTTGCACAAAACTGTTTCCAGCCAAACAGCAGCAGCAAAGGTGCTAACTGCACTATCTGCTACCCTATTTGCCTCAATGAGGTGTTTACCTCAGAGCCTACACAGCCTATTTAAATGCTGATTTTATACAGCAATTGCATTCTTTAGGTTTGTCTACAAGGTGTGTCAATGTGCACCGAAGGGGTGGAAATTGTAGAGCATTCTAAAATGTTGTGCTGAAACTGCCCCATGTAGACCTGGCTGACACACTCTAAAAGGTTCTTAGCGTGTGTTGATGTAGTCCCAATGTTAACATGCACTAGGAATCTTTTGGAGCGTGCTAGCATAATTGTGGTCAGATCTATACTATAGACTTCAGCCAGAATACTAATATTGGATGACATTTCTATATTAATAAAAGCCCTAGCTTAACCACAAAATATTGGGTTAAATGCAGGAATCACTGGGTGCAATTCTCCTTGTTCAGTAACTGGTATAGACTATACCAGCAAAAGCACTGTTTTGCTGCTATAAGCTGCAACTACACTAAGGCTATGTCTACACTGCACTTTCAGCAGTAAAACTTTCGTCAGTCAGGGGTGTGGGGGGGAAAAAAACAAAACACTCCTGACCGACAAAAATTTTACTGACAAAAAGCGTTGGTGTAGACAGCACTTTATCAGCAGGAGACGCTCTCCCAACGACAAAGCTACCGCCCCTCATTGGAGGTGGTTTTATTTTGTCGGCAGGAGAGCTTTTTTTTCTGGCTAATGAAGAGTGGCTACACTGCACACCTTACAGCGGCACTGCTGTTGCAGCACAGCTGTCACTCTAAGGTGCACTGTGTAGACAGAGCCTTAGAGGGTTTGCCAGTATAGCTATAACTAAACTTTCTAGTGTACACAAAGCCTACACTGGTTAGGGGTGTGATATATTAATTATTATTATTATTGCCCATTTAGTTATACCAGTAAGAGCTCTAGTGTATATGCAGTTATACCGATATAAAGGTGCCTTATAGCAATATAGTTTATTTCAGTTCCTGAACCAAAATAAGCTATATAGTGATATAAGAATTTTCATACTGATATAATTGTGTACACAACCAGAGTTTTTTGCTGCATTAACTATACCGGTACAGATAAGGCAGCAAACTTTTATAGTGTAGACAAGCCCTTCGAAACACAAACATAACTGTAGCCAAGGCACTTAAAAACCACTCTCTTTCTGCCATTTCTTTCACAGATTTTAAGGCCAAAAGTGACCATTCTGATCATCTAGTTTGACCTCCTGTATAGCACAGGCCAGAGAAGTGCACCCAGTGATTCGTGCATTGAACCCAATATTTTGTGGTTAAGCTAGGGTGCATCTTTTCAAAAGACATTCAATCATGATTTTAAAACTCCAAGTGATGGAGAATGTAACACATTCCTGGGTAAGCTGTTCCAGTGTTTAACTATTCCCACTGTTAAATTCTTTTCTGTAGCGATGGACTCCTTGCTTACTCATCTTAAGTGGGACTTTCATGTCCCTTTACCTAAGTTGGAAAGAAATCAGTATTCTTTCCTTTCTATATATCTGTAACAGCCTCTGTTTGCCTTCATAACAGTTGTGTTGCTTGATTTTAGGGGATTAATATTATTATTTATATAAGTTAAAAGGCTTGCCAATTGATCTGATCAGAAGATATGGTTCTTGTCCCGAAATCAGGTTACATAGAGTCTTGCAAGAACCCCGCAGGATGTATGACAAGGACATTTATGCTGAGAACACAATACAGCCGTAGAGACTTTTACTGACGTAAGTGGAAAAGTAATCAAATGGAAAGTAATCAACCAGAATTAAAAAGGAAATAGTACTCTTTTGGAGGTACATGTGGTATCCTTTACTATAAAACTTCCTAGATTAACATACTCTCATCCTTCCTTGAGAACCTGGTGGTAAGAGACAAAGGACCAGCCTCATTTCTGGCATGCCAAAAGAGTCCGATGGTCCAGGTTCCTCAATGCTTGAGTGGAAGGTGAAAAATTTAGGGGAAGCTAGAGAGCTAGAAAGCCAGAAAACTAAGCCAAAAAAGACCCAAGAAAAAACTAACCTAACCCTAATTATGGTGGTTTGCCCTCTTATGTGCCCAACCTTCCATGTCCAATTTCTTCACCCACATCAAATCGGGGTGTTCATTGTCACATCTGTTATTTCTGGCCTGAATCAGCTTGGTGGTTATTTCCATGTTCTTTGTGGTGTACCTGTGAAATTTATAGAGCACAATCGCTTGGCAACTTCTCTATGCCAAAGGTCACAAACATATGTACACTAACTTGCTTTAGCTCATCATACAGGATGTGGCCTATAGGTTTCTTCCGTTACTGCAAAAAAATACTCTAATACAAAGTTATAAAGCTATAAAGCTATTATCAACAAACCCATAAGAAAGGATATAATCAAGCAAGCAAGCAGGCGGGCTACAAAAGACATTCAGTCATGATTTAAAAACTCCAAGTGATAGAGAATTTAACACATTCCAATGATTAATTATTCCCACTGTAAAATTCTTTTCTGCAGGGATGGGCTCCTTGCTTACTCATCCTAAGTGGGACTTTCATGTCCCTCCACCTAAGTTGGAAAGAGATCAGTATTCTTTCCTTTCTATATACCAGTAACAGCCTCTGTTTGCCTCTATAATAGCTAAAATAGAAAATGAGCATGTGACTCCTCTGTTTAACTGCTGATACAAGCTGATGTACACGTCACCTGGTAAAAGAAGCGTGCTGGAGTCACAAGTTGTGTGTTTTACATGAGGAGACTCAGCAAATACCCAGAGGCTAGTGGAGTGCAAGACTTCATCTAGGGCTAAGCTTGGATCTCCTGCTTTGCTGTCTCTACACAGAGACCACTAGCCAATGCTCTGCCAGCCTGATTTTTGCCCACATTTATGTGAGTGCCATTTTAAAGAGTCAAGAAAGCAGTGATTTGACTTGTATTAGTAACCCTGAGCAAATACATAAGTGACCATCAGAATTTTCCACTGGCCTGGATAAAACAGCACTTTTTTTCTGCTTCAACAGCCATGTTTATGAAGAAAACCTTTAAAATTTTAACTGATGCACTGTTAACTTCCTGAGTCTGCAGAGAGCCTAACCTGATGGCTATAAGATGTATTAACTACCTCATTCATCTCAATGAATGGTTGAATCTGAAACCTAATGATTACAACATTGATATTTAAATTGTCAACTATTTCACTGCTGATCGTTTTAGCACAAACTTCTATCTAACATGCTTATCCTACAACCCTAAACCTCTCAGCACATCTCCTAATGATCCAAAAACTTCAGCTGTTTTCTACCCAAGTTCCTCTGACAACTGTCGTAAGACAGTTCTCTGTTGTCAGCACAAAAATCTGCAGCAAGTTAAAACTGAGGGCCTGTTTTAGAGTAACTGGAAAGACTCCCATTGACTTTATTTGACTTTGGCTCAGGCCCTGAAATTGTCCAGACAGTAGAAGATAAATTGAATTTATTGCCAAAATAAATAACCGGGGCTCCTAGACTGAATGGATTCTTTATATTTCATTCAGTAAAAACCTCTATTTTTAAATTTAAATGAAGCTGCCACAAAATCTGCAGACTCCTGCACAGGAGGATCACAGAATCCAGGAGCCTTGCTATCAAATTTGGATCCAGCTTGCTGAAAAGTTTGTTTATGATCAAAATATTCACAGAGAAGGGATGTGCTTTGATCTAGACTCCTACAGAATGGGTAGTTTTCTCTCTTCCTGTCACCTACAGAGTGGAGGGAAATCCTTCAGATACCAGTACAGGATGGGGGTGAGGAGAGAGAGAGAAAGTATGCTGCGGGATCTATGATTCAGGCATCTCCTGTTGCTAAGATGGAAATCCAGAAAGCTGGGGATGAGGGCTGGGGGAATGGACAATCCCTGCATAACCTACATTCCATACACGTAGCAGCACATAACCTAAGGTTCTGACATGACCTCTTCCTGTCTCTGCATCACTTTCTTCTGTCCATTCCCACCCCCATCCCCCTCCCAATCTGGTCTGGAACCTTAAACCTCTTTCAGTTACTGGAACTGAAAAGCTTAACTAAGGCCCCCCAACATGCCAGCTGAACTTTCTTTCCAACAGCTGACAAGATACAGCACTGCTACCCTGACAACTCTGTGTACCTTCAACAGCCTTTCCAGATTTGCTATTGCCACCACCAATCAGTTTCACAATTTCCAAAATATCGTCTCCTATGTCCAAATCTCATGGGGTACCTTGAGCTCTGGAGTGAAGGAATCCCAAACATATGAATCATCCAAAGGATATTAAACCAGGCCATCTAGCAACCCAACAAGCAATATAAATGCATTATGTATTTGGCCTATGTTTAAGAAAGATGGTGCCACAAATTCTCTCTCTTTTTTTTTTTTCAATGAACCACGATAATTGGGTTGGTTCCAAAATGTGAGAGCATTCTGAATTTTCCTTTTACTTTAAAGCAAAAGCTATTATAGTTCCCTTTTTTTTGGAATGTAAGTCTATTCACTCCTGGCTAATACTGCCATCTGCTGGATAAACTGGTTACTCTAGGCAATGATAAAAATTTTAAAATGTGCATACAGATGCTTTTATATTTTTATAGCTTGTCCTCTTCCGTTTTACACTAGCATCCAACTTTTAAGTTCTATGTCTCAACTACTGAGACTACTTATATTGCACAATCTGAACTACAAATTTGGAGTTTCAAAGAGCACATGGCACTTTTTACTATATGTATCTCGTAAATTCAGGTTTGCTGACTTTACTGACATCTACATTTTTACATCGGTGAGCCCTGTAAAGCCCACATAATGATGAGAGACAAAGCTGGTTTCCATCATGTATTGTGTGATATCAACAAAACGGTCAGATAAACTCTTATTGTGAGAATCTTTATTACTGATCATGGTGAAAGAGACAGAAAAATGCTCAGCCTAATTTTTAGACCCCAGGACCAGCATCTAGAATCAGCTTTAAAATTCTAACTGACCTAATCTGATCTCCACTAAGAGAGGATAAAAAGGAAACAGGAAGATATCATATTTACAGTTTCTCTTCTAACTCACTGGAGCATACGTTACTCACCCCAGGAATCTCCAGCAATTCCGAGACAAGAATAGGCAACTTCAGGGCAGCCACACTTCCAGTAACACCCACCAGGACATGGTGGTACTTTTGTGGTGTGGGCAAGCTGTTTTGTGGGGAAGGCTGTGGCTCTGAAAGGGTTAAGGGCTCCATTATGCACCTTGGCGACAATCAAATCTACAAACAAGGAGAAACAGTCTTCAAACTTTGAGCTGGATTTACCTAATGATAGACGTGCAGAGAAATTGCTGATTTGCTTCCCTATACAGAATATCAGTAAGTGGCCTCAAAACACTCTTCAGTTCAGAACAATATAAACTGATCCAAGAAGTGTCACACTTCTTTCAGTAATCAGGTGGGAGGGTCACCATAACATTCTGCTCCTCCGCAGTTACCTATTATTCTAAAGGCCACATCAGGGTTAACTGTGAAATTAACTTAACAGTTTAAAAAAGATTAGGTATTATGGCTCAAAGCACTCAACGTGCATTCACCAGAAGTGACTGCTTGTGATCAAGGTTATATGAATGATGGCTGCCATTTTGGATGACTCCAGAAATTGATCCAGAGCTAAATGGATATGTTGCTACAGCATGAGCTAAAGAGTCAGATTCTGTAGTGTGGAGTACATTTGCAACATGCAAATCCTCAGAGTCAGGAACTCTCATTGAAGTAAATGGGATCCTTTCCACATCCGGAATAGCCCAATTGGTGAAAGTGAGCTAGCAAAAGTACTTACAGGATACCAGGAGGTAAAACAGGTGGTCTTGAGGTAACATTTCAAAATCTTAAGAGGAATCCCATATTATTGTCAATTAACAGAGAGGCACAATGGAAGGGATCCCTTCCAGTGTTATTAAGGGAAGCAAAATTATCAACATTACTGAAAAGTGGAAGGATCCTAGTAGATCCTAAATCAGGTCACCCAGTTTTAGGCTCGATCCTGCGAGGTGATGAGCAATCTGACCCTGATCCAGAAAAACCCTTAACCACTTGCTTAACTTTAAGTACATGAGTAGTCTCTGGCCCCCACGGCTTGGGGTCAGTATACTCAGTACCTTGCAGAATCTTCACCATTAAATAACAATAAGTTTTTAGCTAAAAGACTTGAAAATAGACAGCCTAGATTCATGCTTCAGGACATGTCAGGCTTTGTTCTGGAAGGTCAACAGAAATAAATGTAAAGAGGCTACTTCATTTGTCCAAATTGGTACAGGATTTAGAGTCTGCTGTTCTCACTTAATATGGAAAAGGCATGTGACTCAGTCGAGATGGATACGTTCAGTGTCTAATAGGAGTAATGAATGCATGTTGTTGTTTTTTAATAAATCAGTCACATGTATGCACCTTGGATCTCATACAAGAGTTATCATCATCATCATTTGCTTCATAGGAGTACCAAGAACTCAGTCAGAGATTAGGCCCCCTGATGTAATAGGTGGGCAAAACAGACCAGCAAAGTAGAGGATGAGATAGCCATGAAGCGAACACAGTTTAGCAGAAAAGCAGAAGTCACATCTTGCCACTTGCCTAACCAATGCCAGTCAAGAGTGTTAATATCTTGTGCATCACAGCAGAAGCAGATTGGAGTTACCACAAGCAATTACACTTCCTGAAATAACTGATGTATGAACTTATGTTTAAGGCACAAGACTGGGATTCAGGTCTGAGTCAATGCCCAGTTCTGCAACAGACAACCTGTGTGACACTGGGCAAGACACTTAGACTCCCTGTACTTCTGATCTATAAAATGGGGAGAATAATATTTCCTTTCTCCCACCCTTTGTCTGGCTTGGTCTACACTTAAAATTTTAGGTTGACATAGCCACATTACTGAGGGGTGCGAAACTATGCCAACCTAACCCCCACACGGGTTCAGCTATGCCAACAGAAGAATGCTTCCATCAACCTAGCTACCATCACTTGGAGAAGTGGTATTCCTTGTCCGATGAAAAAAACCCTTCCGTTAGCATAAATTGCATTTACATTACAGGGTTATGATGTCATAGCCACAGCACCATAGCAATGCCATTATACTGTAGACCAGGGGTCGGCAACCTTTCAGAAGTGGTGTGCCGAGTCTTCATTTATTCACTCAATTTAAGGTTTCACGTGTCAGTAATACATTTTAACGTTTTTAGAAGGTCTCTTTCTATAAGTCTATATAGTATATAGTAATATAACTAAACTATTGTTGTATGTAAAGTAAATAAGGTTTTTAAAATGTTTAAGAAGCTTAATTTAAAATTAAATTAAAATGCAGACACCCCCCCCCGGACTGGTGGCCAGGACCCGGGCAGCGTGAGTGGCACTGAAAATCAGCTCGTGTGCCGCCTTTGGCACATGTGCCATAGGTTGTCTACCCCTGATCTAGGTATTTATACCACACTAAACACCATGTTTGTAATGTTTTTAAATAAATATATAAAGCTAGTGGTGGAAGCTGGGGGACAATGTGATATACAACTTCCCAGACTAAATGTAAAATGCTAGGGATTTCTGGTTCTGATCCAGATCAACTGAAGTCAATGGGAGTCTTTCCATCGACTTTAGATAAGGCCCTTTATGCATGTGGTTTGGAAATGTAGCAGATTGCAAAACTTTAGTTACAATTATATACAAGATTTGCTGGATGCGTTTGGTTTATTTAATCCAAATGTTTGAATTATATATTATTTTCCAAATGCTCAAAGTGCTAAGCCCCTATTATACGTGGAGTTAGTAGTGACATCTGTAGTTAAGGTTACCATATCCCTTCCACTTTAATCTACTGTTTTCAAGTCTTTATAACCTTGCCAGACTTCAATCATTTGGGCTGGAATGCTTGGTCTTTGCCTCAAGCTGATTTTTGTTTAAAAAAACCCTGTTCTTCAGAATAAGGTCAGAGTTTTACATATGTTCAGCACAGTTTAGAGAGGCTTGCAGCTAAAATCTCTGAAGATTTCATCTGCATTTAGCATGCTCCCTAGCCTCACAGACCTTGAGTTCCCAACAGAACACTGCAACAGCAAAAGCTGCTGTCCCTTTGGCCTATGGGAAGGCATACTAAACAGAGCCAGAAGGGCCCATGAGTTCTTGTCTCAGCTCTTCCATTAATTGGTGTTGATAATTCCACGTTCCTCACAGCCCTTATTATTGAGCAAGGCCTCATTCCCCTAATTTAGAAGGCAGATAAGTATAACTCCCCCCATTTTACAGATGGGGAAAATGAGAGGTTTCACAAGGCCACTTCAGGAAGAGCTGGGAATAAAACCCTTGTCCAGATCCTCAAAGTTATTTAGGCACCTAACTCCCATTTGGAGGTGCATTTTAGAGACACATTACAGTCCCATGTGTGTCTAACATCTGACCAACATCTCGGTTAGCCATGGTGACAGGTTTCAGAGTGGTAGCCGTGTTAGTCTGTATCAGCAAAAAGAACGAGGAGTCCTTGTAGCACCTTAGAGACTAACAAATTTATCTGAGCATAAGCTTTCGTGGGCTAAGCTTATGCTCAAATAAATTTGTTAGTCTCTAAGGTGCCACAAGTACGCCTCGTTCAGTTAGCCATGTTACTTTCATAATAAATGTGCCAATCTATGTGCTTGGCTGTGCTTTCTGTACCCATTAGACCTCTCTCATCTCCACAGACAAGAATGCAATCCAACAATATTGATGTCGTCAGATGCCACCGGTGTGGTGCTCTGCTCTGTTCAATGATGATAACAGTCGGCTGCGTGCATATGTTCCCTCTGTGTGCTGCCCCGGCTCTGCAGATCGCTGACACAGCAGGCCCCGAGAGAACCCACAATGACTACAGACTCTGATAAGGTATGAAGACACCCGGCCAGGTTTATTGTCAAACGAAGCACAGTAATAGTTTCCTGCAGACTCTACAGGACATACTACGAATATGTGCCCCCTGATAATGGACCAGCTCAGTCAGTGGTGGACTCTCCACTGCCCCCTAGGCCAGACAAAGATATCCACTCAGGGATGCGTTCTTATACACAGGTACAAACAAGTTACACATCACTCCTGACCCATTGAGGTACAACCCCTCTACGCGTTAGGGTGCTGCCTCTCTCCTGGTACATGTTGGTTCGAACAAACAAGTCTATCCATCATATTATCCTTTTGACCCTGTCTTTAGGATGGGTCAGCCTGTTCCCCATTATCTCTGTGGAATGTGTTCGTACCAGGATGTTCTGGTGCCATCCTGGCACATGTATGCATGCAATTAGCAGCCTTCTTCTTGCCAACTTCTGTCAGCAGGGCCTGCCTCTGACTCACAGCTTAACTTTGCTTTATGTTAGCAAAGTCTTGACCATTACTTTAGTTCAGGCCTCAGGCCTCATACCAGGCCTCTGATACAAGGGTTTATGTTTCAGGGCCTCATCTTACTACACTCCCACACTTTTTGTCTTTTTATGGGGTGGATGTTTACCCATTGTCCCGGAAAAGCATAATGTATGGACTAAAGATAACCCAGTAGGCTAAACACTGTTATATGGTTACCTTATTTTGCCATCCATATACTCATGCCTGATCTGTCTTTAGTCTGCACATTCCCTCGTACGACTGATGAACAGATTTTATTTTCCAATTGACTGTAGTCCCTTATAGTGGGCCTGGGAATGTTAGGTCTGGGACCATGACTGAGGAATGTAGTATTCAGGTGGCACGTATTCGTAGTATGTCCGGTAGAGTCTGTGGGAACTATAACTGTCCTTTGTTTGGCAATAAACCTGGCCGGGTGCCTTCAGACCTTATCAGAGCCTGTGGTCATTGGGGGTTCTCTTGGGCGTGCTATGTCAGCGATCTGCAGAGCCGGGGCAGCACACAAAGGGAACACATGCACGCAGCCGACTGTTATCATCATTGAACAGAGCAGAGCACCACACCGGTGGCATCTGACGACATTGGTGACCCCGACAGCTGATCTGGTGAGTAAGCGAGCTGTCCGCTGTAGGAATTGCTATCTAACATGACAGAGAACCACGAGCTACGGAACCCCCTTAACTCCTCCCTACAATTCCCCAGAGAGTTTAAAAAGTATAATGGGGAAGAAACATGTAATGTAATTTTTAAAGCTAGGGCAGAGACTGTAGCCTTAAAATGTAAAATATTGCAAACTATAACCATGGCTATTAAATGGTTAAAACAGCATGCCACGAAATTGGCGGGGCAAGAAACAG